GGGCCGGTAGAGTAGGAGCCTGTGTCCTAGGGCGGGTAGCACCAAGAGTTGGCACCAGGGGGTAGGTTTCTCTCAGTGGCAGGAGACTCATCTGTGGGAGGAAGGGCTCGTGCCAGAAAGCTGATAGTGTCAGTGCTTTCTATTTCTGTCTCTTTTAGGGGAACAACATTTCATAAAACAATGAGGCTCTCAAAGATCTTATGTGGCAGGCCTCAATAAAAAGCAGAGAACATTCCGGGTGAGGTGAAATGAGCCTGGCGAGGGGAGAGGAACCTCCTGGAACTCTGAGATGTGCTCGGAGGCCTGGGAGAATCGTCCCAGGTGAATGGGTCACCAAGCAAGGTGACCTCTCTATCCCCCAGGAGCCCACGGAGGACCTGGGGAAGCTCCAGTGTCTGGCAGAGGTTCCTACTCATGCCCCTTCACTGTGCCACTTATGTAGAACTTTAAGCTTCCTGTCCGGGGTTATCGTGTGCTGATAGCATCCTCTGTTCTTCCCAAAGAGAGGGGTGGCACATCTATCACCAGTGGCTGGTGAAAGTTAGGAAATTGTGCTTCTGTGTGTGTAGAGGGAAGTGATATGGGATGGGTTGAGTGTGTCTGGATATGGCTGTGCATGTCCCCGTGAACAGAAAGCATGATCCTGTGTGTGGCCCCTCAGCCTGCCTCCATCCAGGTGTGGAAACTCCCGTCTGAGTTGGGGGAGGACATGACTGTCTGCCTTCCTCCCCTGCCTCCGGCCTGGCTATGTTTCCTGTCTGGCAGATGCAAAGTGGCCTTGTCGTCTGCGGGGGAGACCCCAGCCTCTGGCTGGATCTAGCCAAGACCCTGAGCATCTCCCCCACTGACAGCCTCCGCTCCCACTGGGAAGGGGCCCCACTGCTGGCTCCCGAAACTGTTTCAATTAAAGAGGGAACATGGTGTTTGATGTCAGCCACCTGGAAAAGGGGGAAACAGGGTCCAACTGTCCTTTCAGCCCCGTGATGTGGGCTTTTCTACATTCAGACGGGATCTGGCCTCCTCCCTGTAAGTTGTGGGCCCCACATCTGGGCTGGGGAAAGAAGTGAGAGGAAGGGGCGGGACCCCTTGGAAAAGGATCACATTTTTCTGAGACTGGGAGTGGGGGGGTTTCTCCCAGAGCCTGCGGGCAGCGCTGCCAGGCAGTCAGAACCCAGCCTAGGGGGAGGAGCCGGGCTCTATTCATCTCCCACTCAGATGCCTCTCACTTTCCAAGAAATAGAAATTCAGTGTTTGCCAGATCAAGAGCATGTTATGGACACTGTGCGTGCTGCCCTCAGAAGAAATGGCTCATGACATCTCTGTTAAAGGCTAGAGATTATAGTAGCACATTGGGTGGACTTGTGGCAGAGGATGAAAGGCTGTCTTAGACGGACATCATTTGGTTGCCGGGATCAGAAGCCCATTCGAGCCAGCGCAAGCGAAGTGGGGTATTGGAAGCAGACAGGGGAAGACAGTCTCTAGATGGCCACTCACTGTAGTTATCTCCGAATGCCACGGCCGCTCCGGTCTGCCCCTGTCCTCTGGCAAATTCTCTTCTTCGGCTTTCCTATAACTCCCGAAGAGCTATGGCTACAGCATGCTGTGATCCGTTGTTTCACCACCCCTCAGGGACCCCGTAGCGGGTTGAATAGTATCTGTCCTCCCCAAATTTAAGTCCACCTAGAACCTTAGAATGTGACCTTATGTAGAGATGCTATCTTTGTAGTTGTAATTGCTTTAAATGAAGTCAAACTGAGTTAGACTGGGCCCTAAATTCAATGACTGGTGTCCTTACAAGAAGAGGAGAGGACACAGAGACACCCACAGAGAAAAGGCCAAGTGAAGAAGCCATATAGAGACACAAAGGCCATGTGAAGACAGAGGCAGACATCGGAGCAATGCAGCTACAAGCCAAAGAATGCCAGGGATTGCCAGGAGCCCCAGAAGCTGCAAGAGGAAAGGAAGTATCCGTATGTGGAGTCTCTGGAAGGAGTATGGCCCTGCCGACACCTTGATTTCAGGTATCTAGTCTCCAGGTTTGGGGGAGAATAGATTTCTGTTGTTTTAAGCTACGAAATTTGTAGTAATTTGTTCTGGTGGCCCTAGGAAATTAATACGGCCCTCACCTTAAAGCTGGATTCCCTCAACTTCTGTGTTCCAATTCCCAAGCCCAGGACAAGGAACAGTTGGCTTGCTCGGGTCAGGTGCCTGCCTCACAGGATCCACAAGCATAGATGTGGGTTTCAGAGCTGCCCCATTCCAGCACCCTCGATACCATTGCTCAACCTGAAGGGTATGAATTTGCATCTCTAAGCCGGGTTAGAACCAGTTCCCTCCAGGTGTGCCTCACTGTTAATTGTTTCTGTATACCTACCAGCTACTTGGGCAAAGATACAGAAAGCTGTGGTCACCTGTGTAGGTGAGACAAAGCCAGGAAGAAGTGCCACTCTGTTGGATGACGGAATCAGGCTTCAAAAGGTTCTTTGCAGGTCAGAACATCAAGGTGATTTTGAATGAGGTTGACTGTAAAGGCCAACTCTTGCATTCTGAGAGTCCATTTCACAAAGGAAACATGGAGGAAGCCTAGTTTAACAGCAGCTCTTTGTGAGAAAGACCTAAAGATTTTCTTTGACCAGACGCTAATAATGAGCCAGTGCTGTGGTCCAGCTGGCTAAGAGCTTTAGCTGCACAAAGAGAAGCAGAGCATTATTGGCTAGGCTAGAGAGGTGACAGGCATTTGGGGCTTGGTGCAGCCCACACCTGAGAGACAGAGACAACACGGACCCCAACAGGAAACCAGAGGAACAGCCTGGCCACCAGACAGGGTTGCAGAGGGTTGGTGAGCAGAGAAGAGTTAAAATGCCCCTGGAGGGAACAACAGTTATCAGATGTCCTGGGCACCTCCTGACAAAGATGGGGCAAGGAGGCAGAGCTAGTCAACAGGGACCTATTCCAAGGAGATGGCTGCGGAGGTGTCACTGACTACCCAAAATATGGTTAATCTCAGCTCAGAAGGCTGGACCGCAGTCCCCAGGTGCACACCGATTCTTAAGACCAGTGTGCCCTCCGGTGGGCCGCTCCCAGAGAGCCCCGCGCCAAAGCCGGCCGCAGGGGTCGGGCTGTGCTTATGCCCGGTGCAGTGGGGCATCGGCGGTGGATGAGTGTGTTTGGGGGGCCTCTCAGGGCGCAGTGGCCCGCGCCCCTGCAACCCCGGGGCTGCTCCCTTCTTAACCTCTTGCTTGCGGGCGGTCCCTCGGGCGTCAGCTCGGA